CAGGAAAAACAGACAAATCAATCAATCAATCATTATAAACATGCACTTGTTAAAAACAAACATACAGCTGAAAGAAAGAGAGCTGCGTAAAGGAAACACATCAGCTTAAAAAACACCTGAGTGCAGCGTCAGGCCTGAAATAAACTACCGACCAAATCACAACAAACGGAACAAACTTTAAAGTTTAAACATCTGAATGATATTTTTAATGAATTTTGAGTAAATAGTGTGTAAAATAAATAGCTAATTTTATTGAAAATATTTAGCTATCATGCTACCTGCTTTATAGATATTAATATCATCTTTGTAACCCATGCACGCTTGTAGTGCACTGGCCGAGTGATTGCATCTGCGTTTCTGGCCTTAGACGAGCGCTTATATAAACGCTGCTGAGACTGCGACAGGCTTCCAGTGTGTGTGTGTGTGTGTGTGTGTGATGATGAACCCTGGCAGCTGAGGTCTCAAAGTGAGCTTTAACATGGCCAGACAAGAGGACAGGGTGAAGTGTACTTATGCGTATGTTTGTGTGCACAATGCAATCAAATGCAGCAATGAAAACACAACACGTCTCTTTGGGCGACTGCTGTATGACGATAAACAAAGCTGTGTGCATCAGAACTAATACCACATACTGATGATGGTGCATGTTTACAGGTAATCAAATGATTATCACTAGTAATAAAGTCTCTCTAGGATATTAAGACAAGAACATGAAACTACATTCACAAGCCATTTTACTCCTACAAGGTGAAACAGGATATTCAGAGTCAGCCAGTGTTATTTAACTATTATCGTTTTATTTTTATTCATATTTTCAGTTAGTTTTTTTTTTTTTTTCATTTCCCATTTTTTTTCTTTTAAATTTAAGTTGATATATATTAATTTGAAATGTAGTTATTTTAGTAGATACGATTAAACCAAATTAAAATATGAAATCTAGCAACTGGCTCAAATAATAAAATAATATTTAAAATATATACTTTTTAAATATTTCATTTAAATTAATGTTTTATAAAATATACATTAACTGAAAAAAATTATAATAATTTCAATATTATTTTATCCTAGTAACAAAAATGTTTTGTATGGTTTTAGTTTACTATAATAACCATGTTCAGAGCAGAATTTTGCAGTGGATTGTGGGAGATCTGCTCTCTATTTGATATTATTGCTAGAACATTTATCACATTAACTAACATTAATTTACTGACACTTTAGCAGCCTAAAACAATGACTAAACAAATGAGGAATTGAGAGAAAAAATAATAATGTGCTCTGATAAATCATTCACAATGAGAAATGTGCAAAGTCATTTAATTGCCATTTCATGTTGACTTTAATTGGTGAAATGTGTTTGTATGAGCAAGAAGAAAGGCCTGACAGTAAGACAGTAAACAGATCGAGCGAGTGTGTGTGTGTGTGTGTGTGTGTGGATCTCGAGGCGTGTGTGACCGCGGTCTGTCATCACCAGATATATCATCTCTCACTCTGAGCTACTGTTCCCTCAAAAGATCCCGCTTCCCCTGAGCCCACAGAGGGAATCCTCCGGTGGCGTGTTTGGAGCGTCCCGCGGCCGTTGATGCTGCTGTACAGTGTGCCTGCGATGACTTTGCCGAAGAGGAAGAGGAGAATGTCTTTAAATGAGAGGGCAGAGTGTGTCTGACAACCAGACAGTGTTCCAAAACCTAGTGAGCTGCCTACATAGTCAGCATTTTAAGGCATCATAGTGTGCTCCCGAATTAATGGATGGTCTATAAAGTCAGGCGACATGATTTTGATGGCTTTTAAGATATCTTATTAAAGATGAATTGTAAGGCAGCATCGTGGACAGGAAATCCCAGAATGCATTGCAATAAAATAGCAGGTGCATGCAAAATTCTAATTAAAAATATTTTAAAAAACCCTCTGTAATTAAAAACTGTCCCATATCAGTTCATGTTCGTGTTTTGAGTGTCATATTAAATGCATGTTTTATGCATAGAAAAATTTATATTTAACAATATTTTAACCAATGTTTATGTCCCATGTGTTTGTGTTTTGAGTATCATATTAATTAGAAAAAATGCATATTTTACTTTAATACAGTTTTTGAATGCCATGTTTTGTGTTTTGTATTACTTTATTAATAAAATGCATATTTTATCCAATATTTTATGAAACTTTTGTGTTCCATGTTTTTATGCATTTTGAATAAGACATTATCAGAAAAATGCATATTTTACCCAATTGTTATGTTAAAACATGTCGCAAGTAGGGTTAGGTATCGAGAACTGGTTCCTATTGTTGCTTTAATAAGAATGATGTTTATTTAATTCATACAGTTCCAGCAGTTTTTTTTTTATTCAATTATTGAATGCTTCTTGAATGTTAAGAATTTATGAATTCACTTGAATGTTAAATAAATGTTATTTAGTTCAATATTTAGTTGGCAGCAGTGATTATAGCCTAAATGTGGCAGGAATAAAAGGTAGGCTAACTTTTGTAAATATTTTAATCTGAACCGAGATTTGATAAAAAACGAATTTGATATGCAGACTCCGAATTGATAAGAGTGAAACAAAACCCAACACTAGTCGCAATAGTTTAATAAAACTGAACATGTCCTGTGTGAACGGCCCCTTAGAAGGCAGCAGCCTATGCAGACAGCAGCTCACTAGGGTTTGGAATCAGGGTTTTCTCCGTCTCTCAACACATCCCTCGTCCTTAAGCAGGGTGTAAAGCTGAGGCTTTTGAAGGTGGTGTCAGGAACGGGTTTTCCAGGAGGTTCAGCGGCGAGAGGAAGAGAAGAGGCATCGAGACGCAGCCACGAGCAGAAGATCTAGTTGTCTGAAGCGAGACACGGGGCGGAAACAGACACGACGCAGGGCAGAAACACACAGCAGACGGGAAGAGAACAACAGCGCTGGTTAGTACTTCACACCTGTCAATCATTCTGTCACATCAGCCTCGTCGCATGCAGCATGCACGGCCCCGCCCACAAATATGCAAATAAATAAATGAAGACATGCTTAAAAATGGCTCTGTTCCCTGGACATCTGCGTCGGCTGCAGCTCACAGATCTATATTCTCTGCCCTACTTACTTCCTGCAAGAACAGCAAAGAGAAACTTTCCATAATCATGATTCATGGAAATGCAGAGCTCATGCAGGAGATCATTCCAGCACAACAGCGCCATCTGAAGGACGCTCATCAAAACACATTATGCTTTAATAAAGCAAGCCTGAGTGCCGCTTTCAAGAACATTTGTGAACTTCTTATTTTCATTATGCATTAAATGCTTTATAAAATCAATAATGCACTTGAGGCATGCTATTTTTGTCTTTTTCCATCATAAAGCAGTACAGTGAAATCACATATTAGATGGTCATTTTGTGAGCTGCAGTGACTCCAGCTTCCAGACGAAGCATTTTTGTGCATCAGCATGCGATGACCATCTGACTCGCCCCGTCTGAAGCATTTTGCTCTTGTGTGCTGAGAGCTGAGAGTAAATTATTACTGTCATATGAGTGTGTGAGAAGAGAGACAATTAAGACAAACACTGAACCTACAAGAGCAAAAAAACACTGACGCTTTGGGCTGATTGAGACTCGGGAGACGACATGCACTGTCATGGCAAAGAAATAGAAAGTAATGGATAGTAATATAATACTATCGTAGTATTATATACTATAGTAACATAAACACCTCATTCCAAAGGGGTGGTGAAGACCTTAAAGCTGGATTATAATTAATATCATTAATGGAAACTAAAACCATTACTTGAAATAAAAATAAAATAAAAACAACTTAATTTTTTTCTAGATAGTTGCCAAGGCAACTTTTTTTTTCATTTTACTTCAGTTTAATTTGATGCACTAAAATACCCAAAATAAAAGGTATATAGACATATTAAAATTAAATAAATAAAATGACAGAAACGCCACGCAAAATTACTAAAACTTAAAAATAAAAATGGAAAATATTAAAATAATTTATTAAAATAATGAATTACAAATACTGATAAAAACTATAATAGTATCTCAGTTACACTAAAATAACACTGCCTTACAAATCCATTAAAAAGGAAAATATTAACCATTTAAACCTTAAAATCAGACTCAATATTTTATAAAATTTTTGAATGCCATGTGTTTTTATGTGTTTTGAGTATAATGTTATTTAAAAAATACATATTTTACCCAATTTTTGTGTTAAAAACAGCCAGGGTTGAGTATCGAGAACCAGTTCCCATTTTATTTAAAATATTAATAGAAACTATAAAAGTATCTCACTTATATTAAAATAACAATGCCTTTAAAATCCATTAAAAAATAAAATATTAACCATTTAAACCTTTGAATCAGACTACTTTCTCAGTCAGAATCCAAATGACCTTGTGCACATGTGTAGTGTCGTGTTGCTTAAGTTTATTTACGTCTTATGAACAGGTCAGCAGTGGAGAATTAATATTTGTGCTAAAAATTAAAATCTGAAAAAAGGTAAAAACTACAGTTGGATTCATTTGGACTGACCAAAATCAGTGTAAACAAGAGCAACAGATATCTAGGTATATCGATACATTAATGTATATGACGTGCATTAATGAACATATTGGACCTATTTCACAATATCCACTCCATTTGAGTGTCTAGGCACCATCACAATTTTAACTCGTGAGCATCAACAAACAGGAAACAAAAATAATCATAAAACGTCTGGCAAAGTCAAATCCTGCAGACAGACATCATGTGACAGAGGAGAGGAGAACAGTAAAAAGGTGCTATTTAATGCACTGCTAACGGGATAAACATGCAATTACGAAGTAAACTAAAACCTTGCTAAATGAAGGTTTTAGTCTCCTCTACGCCCACTGAGACGAGTGGCTTCCCGTCCAACCAAAACAAATGATCTGAACTGAAAATGAGCATGAAAGAAAACAAGCAAACCAAGGTATGACTCAAATAATGGAGCGGCACCCGAAACTAAACTGGGGCGACGAGAAAATCGAAGGCATCTCTTACCAGGGTTTTGAGCCCCTTGGACTTCCTGCTGTCCGATCTCGACTACTGTACCCGGATCTGCTCACACACACACACACACACACACTCAACAATTAGAGGCGTTTGAATAAGAAAATCCTCAAAAGCCAAAGGGAGATTCTTGACAAACACGCAGTTTGCTCAATGCAAACAAACTCTTGGAAATCAATCAGACAGACTCCCACAAAGATTCACACAGGCCAATATAAACCAGAGGAACTGCTTATTTCGCACAGCAACATTCAATGAACGTCACAGGTGACTGAAACAGGAGAGATCAGTTTTCAAATACTTAACCTCGAAAAAAAAAAAACAATCTGTGAAAAGAGATGCTGTACAACTGCTCTTATAAAATAAGTAGATAAAAAAGGTAATACATTAGAATAAAAATATATAATGCAATGCAATAATAAAATTAAAATACAATAAAATAAAATAATAAAAAATAAAATGCAATCAATTTATAATTAAAAAATAAAATGCAACGAGATAAAATAATAATAAAAAGAAAAACTATAAGAATCAGATCATGTAAAATGTAGTCAACATAAAAAAATGCAATAAAAAAAAATGCATGGCAACAAAATAATAAATAAAATGCAATGCAATAAAATAATAAAAAATAAAATGCAATGAAATAATTAAAAAAATGCAATGCAATACAAGAAAAGAAATGAAAATAAAGCTTGTTGGTAATAGATTAGCATTATGCAACAAAACTTGGGCACGCCTGATGTTTTCGCTGTGTAACCTGTTAACATCAACAGATCAGACTCACCCTTCCCGTCATTGTCCAGCAGTGGGACGTAGTTGGCCTTGTCAACCGTCTCTCCGATCTGATCGTCGAAGGTCTCGGCCTCCAGCGAGGTCACAAAATCCCTCTCCACCATGTTCTCCACGTCAGGCTGAGGAACGCTGTCGGTCAGAGCATCGGTCAAGCTCAGATCCGCCATGACTCTTACTGCAACACAAAGACAACGAGAAGAAAACATGTAGATTTAATAATCACAATAATAACAGCCACCTATGCTCATTAATATTTTGTATTTACTGTCATTTATGCACCGCAGCAAAAACAAATGTGACACTTTCGATTATGATGTTGTCATATATTATGATGCAATCTCTTGACATCGACTGTGAGATGTTGAATTATTTCATCAGAAAGGCCTACTCGTTTGATCATTTAACATGCCTATTATCAGAAGAAATCAAAGCAGCAGATAAAAACAAGATCGTCTTGAGGGTGAAACCAGCCCAAATGCACTCATTTCCTCCTTTAACTCACTTTTTTTCAAAGCCTGTGATTCATTTGCGGCGTCTCTCTGCTGATAATCATAATTTGTGTCTTCCTGTGTTGTGTAATCTCAAGACTTTGCGTCTGTGTTTTCCTAAATCACAGAGATTAAAGATGTGGCAGCGGTGTAACGCAGCAGGATTACAGCTGTGGGATGGACACACACACACACACACACACACTCTCTCTCTCTTACACACACACGCACACACTCAGATTCCTGATTAAACAGAGCTATCCTGAAGCATCAGTTCAACAGGCTAAGCTGAGAATCATTTCTCCCTCTTTAAAATTTAAATACACTCAGTTCCTTTTAAAAAAAATAGTTAAAATAAAATATAAAAGATATTATTATATTAAATTTTTAATTTAATTATATATTAAAAGTATAAAATTTAAGTTCCTTTTAAAAAAAATAGTTAAAATAAAATATAAAAGATATTATTATATTAAATTTTTTAAATTTTTAAT